CTTATTTATTATTACAACACAACGTTTCTAGGCTGCTTCTTAGTAGCCGAGAAACGTTGTGTATTTATGATAATGAATATTTGTTTGATCTTTTATGGAATATGGAAAGGTTAATCCAAGCACATTGTATGTACGATTGCTTGTGCGATCTCTTAATCAGGATGATTATTTTCTTCAATTATCCATGGGGTAGTGGAAATAGAGGAAAGATGGGAGGTATCTGTTCAAGGCGTTAATGCGTTGATACGTCCAGACATCCAGATAACCTGCAGCGTTGCTTGAAATACTAAATCAATACATTTGAGCTTACCTGAAAGAACTTTGAAAAGTAAGACAACACTGTGTGGAAGTACCTGTGAGTAATGCAGTTTTAAGCAGGTTCCGATCACAAGTATTTTTACAGATGTTTTATTTTTGATTGAATGCATGAATCATGAATCAAGAACTGCGCTGTATGATGCATGGATGCGAAACATGTTGCAAACTGTAATGTTGTTTTCAGTGAACTCCCAATAAACCAGGAGAGAGTAATAACATATTGCATAGCCTAAACAACTATCAAACCTCAATGTGAAAAACACAATGTGAACCCAGATTTTCTGTGACCATTTTGTTTTAGTACTGGTAACATGAGCATATACACTGTGTTCATATACATACCCTTGGTATCCGGAATGATGCACAAGGTTTTAAGCCATACAAACATTTGAAAACTTGCAAATTTACAAATGTTTTCCCACCTAAGGAAATATTCATATTTCGAACCCAAGTAAACTTAGAAAAGAGTCGGAAATTACATCACCTATATTACAATCAAAAGGAATGTATTGGGAATACTGTGTATTTCAGAGGTATATGACGGGTGTGTATATTTGGTGGTAAGATACCATAACGCCTTTCTGATCAGTGTGTCATATCTTTTGCCGGTGTAAAATAAAGAAAGAAAACCAAAGTCGTAATATTTCACATTGTAAACAGAAAAAAAGGAACACCATAATGTCACTTGTAAACCTTTCATTAGGATGTCATACTATTATCCATCAACTTTAAGGGTTTCACGGCATGGCATTGCAACTGGAGCGTGAAGTGACACATATATAAACAATATTGACCCTTATCAAAACATATCTCCTTCTGACATCAGTTGAATTGTTGTGTTTCATGCATGCAGTGCCAACCAAAATATGTATGATCTTCAAATGATATAGCTGAATTATAAAAACATAATTTTGGTAAAATTACCTTTAAATTTGTAAAATTGATAAAGTTGCAAATAAGTTAAGACTAAATGGTTTCCGTGGACCTTCTTCAACTTCATAACTGTGCATGTAAAAGTCAATGTACAGGAAGGTGTCAAAGAGGTTGAACCTGTTGTGTACTTCGGCATGTGGATGTGGACTTGAAACATGTTCCCGTGATCTTGACATAATGATTTGGATAACATGTCAATGTAAAGCATGGAGATAGTCCAACAGTATCATCGACATACATGGTATCGTTGACTATGTAAAGCATGGGAGCTGTTACTGTTGAACAGACATTATATAATATTTTGCTGATCTAAATACAAAGTACCAACCTCTGTTTCCTTGTAATGGTTTTTTCATGCATACAGTGCAAACCAATGGTATATATGATCTTCAAATGATATAGCTGAATTAGAAAAACATAATTTTGGAAACAATTACCTTTGATTTGTAAAGTTCAACTCATATTTTCTCATCAAATGCCCTTTCTATTAAAATTGACCTTTGACCTTACCAAAATATTTTGGCGATGAACATATATGTAATATTATTGTCCACAACATTCAATCATGATCTGAGCATTCCAAAACTACTATTTTGATGAAAATCGGTCACTCCAAACCAGAGTTATTAAATTAAACCACCCAGTTATCGGTTCAAATATTGCCATAACTGACATGACATGTTGCACCTTAAAAGGGCCTCTGTACGGTAGTCACGCACGGTAGCTGATGACAACCGGCTTTAAATCAAAGCTAAATCATTCCTGATTGTGAAAAATCACATCCCGTTTGGTCGCCAGAACTGCACTACATTTTCACCATTTGGGGGGTCTGGCTTCTAGACCATACAGTTGTCAGTTGTTTAGAGACGAAATACAGGGAAAGCAATGAGGTGAAGGATCGCCCACGTTCTGGACGACCCAGGGTGATGTCAGATCGTGTAGACATCGCAGTATAGAGGCTCACTCGACCACTAACATTCGCTACACCCACTGTTCCGCAGCACCAAATCTCTACGAGAACAGTCCGAAGTTCGCATTGGGAGAGCCGGATACAACTCTAGAAGGGTCGCCAAACGCCCTCTACTGAACGATCATCACCAGCAAGCACGTTTGGCTTGGTGTGTACAACACTGGAATCTGAAAATTGGCGAAGAATAGATTGGTCTGATGGAAGCCGATTCCTTCTTCTCGTAACTAATGGGGTAATTGGAGGCAGTGAAATACAGCATTTGCAACAAAAAACATTCAATTAATTGTTGCCTTTGATGAAGATTCTATCCTGGTGGGGATGTGTCTCTCATGGCAGTAAACATGACTTAGTGACAATACATGGGTATTTGATGGGTGATCAGTATATCCGGGACAAATTTTAATGTTAATCACCCTCTTGCTACGAGACCTGTACTTATGGATGACAAAGCTAGGCCACACTGTTCTCATGCTGTGACAGCTTTCTTTCAGAATAATGCAATAATTCGACTTCTGTGACACGGGGGTGGTGGGGTAGCATAGTGGTTAATACGTCCGCTCGTCACGCCGAAGACCCGGGTTCGATTCCCCACATGGGTACAGTTTGTGAAGCCCATTTCTGGTGTCATCCGTCGGTATGTTGGAATATTGCTAAAAGTGACGTAACACCATACTCACTCACTCTGTGGCCCGCCATGAGTCCAGACCTGAACCTCATGGAGCAGACGTGGTAGGGTACATGCAGTTACCCAAACACGTGGAAGGTACACTAGATATTGATTGTACAACGTTCCCAGGTTACACATGAATGTTGCCTGATCCTCTCTCCGGCTCCATAGTTCATACAACAGGTATCATGTTCAGCCAAAACAGACGATTTGTGTATTGTGCCATATCCATTATGAAAAGTAGGAAACTGTCATTATTGTCTTTTCTTGTAGTCAAGACATCTTACAGAAAGACATGCACCATTACCAACTTACTATGCGGACACACCACTGATATTATCCGAAACATACCGCCATTTAAAATTTACCAGTTGTTATTGTGCTTAACTACTGTTTTTCAAGGTACATGTATATAATCAGCAAAAGGTGGGTGTATCCCCGCAAGCCATAAACCCCCATTGAGGCAGGAGTGTTATTTTCAAGTATAAATGTCTAATAACACCTCTTTATACGTGTTATACGTGTAGGATAAAGCACGACTCCGAGGTTATGGTTGGGACAGTAAGACCTGAGACCGGAGGATGGGGAAAAGTAAGACCGAGAGCGCGTAGCGCTCGAGGTCTTACTTCTCTCCATTCGATGGTCGAGGGCTTACTTTCCCAACCATAACCGAGGAGGAGTGCTTTATTATACATATACTGGCCACATAAAGAAAATGTGCACACAGAAAATATGAATATAGGCACACAGCGTATTTATACATAAATTCATTTGTGAACATAGCAAGTATTGGAGACAAGCAAACGCTCATGCACGTGCCAGGCGACATGACGTCATTGACGGTGGCCTAAGGCCTTGCAATGTGTTACTGCACGTGCAGCCCGTACAGATGCACACAACATGTGAAACTCTGAAAGTGCTGTCACTGTCGAAAGCTTGATCTTTGGTCATTCAAACGTTCACCAATTCACATGAGAAGTCACATGCACATCATGCCAAGATTAACATCTGCTCAACGTCATGAAGCCATTGGAATGGCTCGAGCAGGAATGAGCCAACAACAGGTGGCAGCACATTTCCAATGCCATCGTAACACGATATCTGCATGGGTCGAAACAGTAATGACGTCGCCGATCACCCACATTCTGGGCGTTCCCGACGTAACGACGCCAAGACAGGACAGATGGATTCGGGTGACTCATCTCAGATACAGGTTCCAGACAGCAGTGACCACGTCCCAGACCATTGCCCAGTCCTTCAATGCTCATTTGCTAGCCTCTATGCGTCTTCGATGCACTGCTGTGCTTCACGCACACGGTGGTCATACCCGTTATTGACTTTGTGACTTCGTCGTGTGACCCCCTACTCGATTTTGAACTTCTGACGTCATCGTTACGGATATTGTTCATGTTCTTTTGACATTTTCTTGTGGTCAGATACTTCAGCTTATAACGTGTCTACATCATTTCGTCTTTGCTGAGTTGTATTCCAATTATGAAGGCATTTTCTGTGCGCACAGTTTCTTTATGTGGCTAGTTTATAAACCGTCAATGAAGGATAATTAGATGATCATGTAATGAAGCTACATAACAGTAACTCAAGCGCTAGTACAATCAATTTAATGACAGAAGGCCTAAATAATTCAACACTGGCTTCTTTGTCAGTAATAACTGTTAGATGCGGTTCCATTCCTGCTAGGGAAAATATTTGCACATTAGAGTTGATCTTTGACGATAGTTTTCAATTGATTTCAAACGCTCACATCTCATCTGAATTTGAATGTTGATGTTAATATAGAGTTACTTACAAAAAGTAAAACCTGGGAAGAGGTCTTACTTACAAAAAGTAAAACCTGGGAGCAAACAAAAACGTCAAATGCGGTTATTCCGGGAAAAGAACCCCTGTCTAATATATAGTGAGAAGCACCCTTCAGGTTTATATGTCGTCGAACACCAGTTGTGTATTCAATGGTAATAAAAACAGATATCAAGCGAGTAAAGGACTGTGACAGATTGCATATACGCGCATCAAACACGTTCTGTATTGACCAATCAAAAACGTGTAAGCCCAGTAGCCTCTAAACAGATGCACAGGTTTTATATAACTGATAGACACGGTGGTTCACGATACGTTGACACAGGTTGCTGAACGCGGTAATGTTACTGGTGTCAACGTAATATCACGCAGTGAAATCGGTAAGGGAAGCTTGCCCAGGAATCCACACAGGCCGAAGATTGCCATCGAAGTCACTGCTCATATTCAGCATCACCAAGCGGGCTGTTTACAGGTAATGTGTGACAGAATAATATCATCGTGTCGCTGATAGTTAAAACGTTTTCTTGTTCCCAGTGTATTTAATAGCTTGGTAGTCAAACAAAAAAAAACAGAAGAAAAACAACAATAGCCTAGTCATACACGGATGCAGAGGGGGGTGCAGGGGTGTTCATACCACCCCCACCCCCAACCCCTTTTGTCTAGAAAGTTAATTATATGACCGTTGAAACTCTCGTGAAAATGAAGTGTGAACCCCACTTTCTCAAGAGTGTGCATCCTCACTCACTCACTCTTAAAAGGCATTTAGACGTTGTATGAACATGAATACATGACACGTTTTCATGGATAACAGCTTCTTGTTCTTTGTACGACGTTTCAGAAATAATTTGTTCACCTGATGAAGGAGCAAAGTTTAGCTCTGGAACGAGGTACAAAGAAAAATAAGAAGTTGTTATCCACACAAAACGTCTCATATATACAATAATAGTGTAGGTGTTCAGACTTTACTGGGCCTGGTCTCCTGTGATTCTCTAGTCTGTCTCAGTCCCTGAACCACTTTATTTCCCTACTGTCTAGCTCTCACACCGCACGAAGGCAGTATTTCCCAAATTTACTTTCGGGGTAATGTTCAAATGAGAGATTCGGTGCGTGTTTGTACATGCAAAACGCAATAACTGAAAGTAGGGATACGGGGAAAATGTGTGTTCCTGCATATCATCAACTAAACATCTCACACACACTCTCACACACTCACACACACACACACACACACACACACACACACACACACACACACACACACACACACACACACACACACACGGAAGGATATTATATATTATTAAGTAATTCATTTAGAACGAGGAAAACAAACACTGAACTGTGGCTATTGTCAATTGGTTACTGAACAATATTAGATCAACGATATACCTGGAGCTTATGGTAAGCACAATTGGGGTCCATTGGGATACCTAGTTCTTGTCGAACTGGTTTACCCACAAATCAATGAAGAAATCCACAGATACATTGTTTTCTCTGTAAACTTCAAATGACATTTGCTTTCATTTTGGACAAATTGTCCTGAACTTCTGAAGGTAGATGTGTAGGTATATCTTTGTTCACCACGTTTATTTACAAATGTCCCATGGATCAAAGAATGACGTTTTCCTCAAGTTTGGCATGTGGGATAGACTGGCTAGAGAATTTTCATGGGGTCATTTGGGATTTATTTCACTCTCTCCGACTTGTTAATTATTATACACTTTTAAATCATGCAAGATTATGGCCTGATAGAAATATTCATCATATTAGCAACTTAAAGATGAAACCCGTGTCTACATTCAAATTTCGGGCTATTTACACTGATCACAGATACACAGCAAAAGACATGACGCGGAATTACAAGTCATTTTATGTTTGCACTGTGTAAATTCAAAACAACCATTCTAGATGGAATGTCCCGATGTTTCCCAACTTTGGGCGCATATTTCCTGTGCTCAACGTATTTTGCCTATGCACAAGTATTTTTTTCATGTATTTGACGACCGGATTTGTTGACATGCATGAATTTAAACTTTAATACCTGAGGAAATGCTTGATCGTCGAGTGCACATTCCTATTAATTGTAATATGTGCTGCAATTTCCGATTTTTTTCTGAATATACTGAGGTTGTAAATATATATATATCCTTAGGTGGGGAAACATTTGTAAATATTTACATTTTCCAATGTTTTCATGCCTATGAAACTTATGTATTCCGGTTATCAAGGGTATGTATTTGAGCACTTTTTGTATGTTCATATTAACGGTACTAAAACAAGATGATCACAGGATTTCCCACGATGTTAAATACTGGATTCACATTATTTTATTTTTACAAATGCTGTAGCCTTTTATCAACGTTCATATGACATAATTAAGCCTCTGCCAATCAGGGTCTAGACAGCAAAAGCTGTTATGCAAACGGACATGTTCAATACGTGAAATGATTTACACCCGCCTGTATTATTCAATACAGCAGAGTACTGCTGTCTGTAAAAAAACTGTAAAAATACTTGCATTCACAACCTTCTAAAAGTTATATTACTAATAGGTACTTATGCATTGTTTGCTTTTCGATTGTGGGCAAGTAACTTTAGTGAAACAAGTTTGCTTTCAAATGAAGTTTCCAAGTTTAAGCAGATACGCAGCTTCTCTGGAGGTATGGAGACGTACCTACAATCTACCGCAGTGTTATTACAATTTGCCACAGTTTATTACAGTTTACCGCGTTATTACAATTTACGTCGTAACAACGCGACTACTTTAGCGGGGGTTAAACAATGATCACTCTGGGTAGGAGAATAAGTTTTTCGCTGCCATTTTGAGCCGCATCGCCATGACAGAAGAGACTTTGGGGTACTTGCCCCCACACAGCCAAAGGAATTCTAAGGTAAGTAAATCTAATTCTACTTATCTTTATCTTATTTCCCTATATTACCCCTGCATACCAAACGATGCCAAATATCTTCAACCCTCACTCGGAAGTCGAATGAAATGATTCAGCACACGCACAAATTCACTTTGCAGTTTTCAGTTCTGCGGGAAATCTCGTTTCTTGATATCACCCTGAACCTTTTTAAGTAAACCGAACTTCCTGAATATTACCTCTGAAAATATGGTATATCGATAACAAGGCATTGTGTTTTCATCATAAATCTCGCCATTTTGCAGAGCTTAGGAAATCGCCAATCTCGGCTTTAGATGTTTAGCCCCCGGATGCCTGAGGGACAAATATGTCCCTAATTCAGAATTCTAATTCTGTCGGTAATGTCTGTTTCTTGATACCACCTAGTATCATCTTAGGCACCAAATCAAAAGTGCTGAATATGATCTCTAAAAAAATGTTCATACATGGTTTACAAATTACGAAATCGCGATAAATGACGGACGTTCTTTGCTGTGTCTTGAAATGTAAAAATCGGATAATTAGAGGATAGAATTTCAAATACCATCAGTGATCATATATATCTGTTTTTCATCATATGACCAATGGTAATTCTGAAACATTCCCGATAAACCTGGAATCATTGGGATGTTTTGGAAAAACTTCGAAGTGAGCTTTCCGCCATATTGGATAATGTTTACAAAATCACGTTTCGTGAAGGCCGTTCATGAGACTCCTATTATATCACGTATATTTCACACTCAGCTACGACGAATACATCACTGAATTCTTCATACGTCTTAGAATAAAATAACAAATGGTCTTTGTCATCAATGCCAAGTGTTTAGATGAAATCAAACGAAATATATTGGTTTTGAAAACGAACGCTGTGCTCGTATAACAGCTCGTTTGTAATGTAAAGAGAAAAATTAAGATTTTACACTGTGAAACATTTTCAGACATCAATTGATCCATCCGTCAATACATTGCATACATTGGTTCGATATTTTTAAAACATGCATGGGTAGAATTTTGTAGCAAGAATTAGGCAATAAAAAATAGATGCATAATAATGATTTTGTGAATTCAAAATGAAATTGTCAAAGTTTCCGTCCTGCGTGCCGCCATGACTGACGCAATATCACATACAACGACAATGGTATTTACCAGGATTTCTGACTACTTCCCTTGGTTACAATTAACAAAACAAATAACAACACGTAGATACTCAGGATGTTTTCGCTTACTTACACCACAAATTTATGTACAAACGATCCCTGCATAAAGGGAAGGCACCTCGCAAAAACATGCATACAGTACCCATGTCAGCAAACCCGCCATTCGGCAGTGATGTCAAACGTCAACGTTGTTGTACATATTTGGTGATTTCTTTGAGGTGAAGGTCGGTTGAATAAAGGTAAACACATGGATTGAATGTTGTTTAAGCCGCACTTAGCAATATTCCAGCTATATGGCGGTTGTATGTAAATGATCGAATCTAGACCAGACAATACAGTGATCGAAAGCATGAACATCGATCTACGCAGTTGGGATACGGTGACATGTATCAACCAAGTCAGCGTGCCTGATCACCCGATCCTGTTAGTCGCCTCTTACGACAGGCATGGGTTACTGATTCAGATTCAGGTTCTTTATTCTCCATAGGACCACCAAAGGTGGTATAAGAGTGAATTACAAGGCATAATAATACAGTATGATGTGCAAGATGGCAGTACATATAATGGGTACAACAAACATGATAGCTATGGCACTCTTGTGCAACAATACATGTATATATAACTTTTGCAAGGGATTTCAGTTCCTTTCTTTTACTGAAAAGAGTAATTTGAAATAGTGCAGGCTGACATTTTTGGTACATATAAATTCTATGACTTTCAAGTGATGTACAGCGAAAAATGTAATGAAATTCGTCTGCTATGGCAGATGAATTACAAAGGTTGCAGGTTTTATGTTCTTTTGGTGTATTGGTCCAGCGACCTTTTTCAATTGGTAGTTTATGATTTGTAGTTCTGAGTTTAAGTAAGGGATAAGAGGTAGAGTTTGGTAGATTTTCAAATTTAGGTAATTTCTCGTAATATTTATAGTTAAAGCGTGAAGAAGTACTGAAGATCAATTCTAACCCGGATCTTCACAGTTTCAGTATTATCATGTATGTTCTGCGCATCGTTCAGATATTTCTTCATGTTTGAACAATATTTACAGAGCGGCAAATTCGGACAGGCAAACCTAGAATTGTTATATAATCAACAATTATATATGTGCTATTCAACACACTAATGTCGTCTTTCTCCGAGGTTGTAAACCATTTAACACAAGCCATGACGAAAACTAAAATGGTGTAATGTTTCCAGTCATTTCATCACATCGGAAGATATGGCTAGTAATCTGTTAATAATTATTCAAAATATATCTACAGAAACAAGAGAACATGGGAATCTAAGACGTAATTTGTATATTGGATAGAGCTTTCTATTTCTCTAAATATTACGTCCTTTTTCATCTGGTAGGATTTCACAATTGTAATATGGGATATTACCAAAACGTACCTGGCTACAATGTGGATCTT